AAGACGCCCGTCTTAACGCCTATTTACTTTCTATCCTTAACTTTGTGATCATAGTGGAGACTATGACTTGGCGGACTAATTCATGCTTGACTTAGATGCTTGTATGTAAATGAAATTAGAGGCTAGTGGAAGGAAATTGTAAATTGGCTACACCAAGATCCAAAGGAGGATTTCTTGGAATTTTGACTTTAGATTCGTGTACACAGCCCTGTAACTGCGATGAATACGTGCTGAGCTTTCGTCTGTTATGTGACAGACGTCGTTAGAGCAGGGAACCATGCTTTGAGAAAATTCGCGAAGTACTTCCTACTTCTTGTAGCTTTATTGTAAACTTAATGAGACATATCATGATTTGATTGGCCTTCTCTACATCATTCCATATTACTGAAGAGGCTACTTACTATGCGCACAGTGAATATGATTTAGGCAAAACAACTGCATCCTCACATAGATCAATTGCATTTTTTATCTGGTATTAGTAAAACATGTAATTACGCTAGTTTGCACCTATGTTGTGTGAATATAATGCTATGGTGAGTCCTAACCAGATTCGAGGTCAATCAAGGTTAATCTCTAGACGCTAGGGATGTACCAAGTCAACGATCCGATGCTGTAAATTATCATGAGTAGTATGGCAGAGGACGAGGGACCAAATACATTCCACAAGGTCTCCCTGTGGCTTCTGTCAAGCAATGAAAAATGTCAAACCAACACTATACATCTGAGGGAGACTGCGACCCAATCTATGGGAACATCATCTTGGTCTTCCCATCCACTTTCCTACCTACACTAACTTGTTCCTTAACCTCTATCCTTAAATTCTTATTATTATCCCATTGTCTGGATTTTTATACCCAAATTCATAAGCTTTAATTATTCTTAAACTTTAGCATATAGCCTATCAACAATTAATTGAAATTTAAATCTTACCAAATATAACAATGCTAGCAGTATTCTAAGCTATATTAAATAATTTAATTTTATCTTTCACTAAATTCTGACAATAAATCCTGAGCTGCACTTTGAGATTTATTTATTTAAGTGAACAATGTTAGGCTACAAATAGGTAAAATTGTAGCCGGACACTTTTCATGTCTTAGTGTGAGATGAATGTTCATAAAGCATGTTTTCCTGCTCTGATGATTTCTGCCACACGACAGACGAAGACTCATTAGAAATTAAGCTATAACTCCAAGGAAATCCACCTTCGGCTTTCGACGAAGCCAATTCAGTAATCCCTTTCGTCTTCCACTATAGACGAAATAAAAATTCACACAAAAAATCAATTAAGGGATTCCTCGAACTCCAGCTACTCTTCATATCGATGTTATTAAACTTGTGTTGATCTTAAGTTATAAGAATGACTCAGTAATTATTCATTGGAATAAAAGGATGTCACGATGATTGAGTTAGCCAGTAGGGTCGAACAATTAGAGGCCAAAAGGAATCCGCCATTACATAAATAATGGAGGAATAAAATAATATATACAACTCTAAGAGGGGAACATATATCCTAGCTCTCTTAGAAATATATATATAATAGTTCAGCCAGACATTGATATCAGAAGTTACAAAGACACAGCCTCTTCAGAATACTCAAAAAGATCAAATAATCTGAAGTTGGATGTATCATATCGTCTAAAAGCATTAGGTTAAACCGGGCTTGAGATATATTGCTTGCTATTCAATTGTTCTTCGCCAAAAAGGAGTAAGATTGAGTGTTCTTCAAGAATAGATGAAAAAAGTAGCAATATTATTGTAATAATGCCTAGTATAAATAATAGGCAAGTAAATCAAATGACTTGAATGTCCAGGGATCACCATTAACATCGACTTATCTCGTGCACCAATCACATTCATTGATTATCTGGCCAAATACAATATCTGCTCACAGTCAAGCATGAATACAAGACCCCTAGTGCTACTAAGCCTATCAACCGTGTCAAAATAATGCATTTGTAAGGAAAACTATCTGAGGCGACATACCAAGGCTTCTGTAATGATTGTGCCCGAGGCAGACCAAGTAAAAACTTCAATCTGACCAGGGGTATCAAAAATTACGTATTCGACCCTCGAGGAGTTCTTATTAATCAAGTTGATAACTCGATCAAACTGAGAAGTAAAAAAATTAAGCGAAGTCATAATGGCACCGTTTGGCCCAAAGCCATACTGTTTCATCACTTCTTTGAATTTTACACTGTCGCGAATATCTAAAAAAGAAACCGATTCAATAGAGATGATATTTAATTGAGAAGAAATGAGTGGCACAAACCTATATTTGTATGATATGGAACATGGTAGACAGCAGGATCCAGGTTAACAGTATATATCTCTTTCTTATACTCAGTTAAGTATGAAGTCAGCTTGTGTACAAAAGTTGTTTTGCCGGAACCAGCCATACCAAGAACTATTATGCAGATAGGATGCTTTTCCGGTTCTTTATTTAATTCTTGCTCCGCTTCTGCCGACTTCGCCTCGCAAAAGCTATCAGATGAAATCATTTCTAACTATAAAAAACGAAATGGATAAAAACTAGATTTGACGCTTTCTAAAGCAGCAAGTTAATGGAAGGTATGTTCTACCTTCAAAATGGTTTATCATACATTAGCGCTTTTAATTATCCCAAACTCAGCACTTTATAATGTAGCAGAAAAGGCTATCGGTTTTATAATTTGTGTCTTCTAACTATTATTTATACTGAATGTAGGATTACAAATTATTTTAAATAAAGATATAAGCAGACACACTTTTACAAGTCAGCTAAAACGAGAAAATAATGTTTAAATCAATGAAGAAATATATAAAATTGAATAATTCCAGACAGAACAGCCAGAATGCAGAAAATGAACGTAGTAGCCATAGATGGGATATTGAAATTAATCGAAAATTATAGAACATGCAATATAAGGCAAGGAAGAAAGGGCCATAAAGCTGGTTTATAAGGATTCTTGTTTGTTTTGAAAATTATCGGATAAACATAAACCAATCTCAGCGGATGTTAAAGTGAAGATTGAAGGCAACTAATGTATAACATGTCTCAAGACTCAAGCCTGCAATAGGCTAAAAAGTAAAAATTTCTGACAAGGCATGCTGACCATAATTGAACTTAAATTCCCTAAATAAACAGTATAAATAAGCATATAAAAGAGAACAAGTGTATGTAACACCGTAAAAATGACTTTTTCTATAACTAACCAAAGGAACCTAAACCGGATTCCAATATAATATGCGTTCAATCAAGAAAAAGCCCAATGCATAGCACTTAGGGGATACAATTGGCAACCTAAGGTAGATCCAACCTCCAAAATAGGAAGGAAATAGCAATATTTATGTAAGGAAATACCTTAAGGGATATCGGCAAAAAAGTTAGTAAAATATTTAGTAGAATCCATATTTATACTATAAATAAAGACTGTATTAACTAAATAAAACAGCGTTTGTTTCATTTTAAACGCCAAATTAGCAATAAGAATACATATATTCGACCTAGAAAAGCCGAAAAATAGATCACAAGTTCCAAAAGGGAGCCTTGGATAGTGTTCATAATCTTGGAGTTAGATGACTTTGAGGATGAAAATTAAGCCTCCATATTTAATTTA